TAATAATAATATAAAAATAATTAATATTAACATAAAGTTTAATTCAATTTCCCCTCATTGCAACATTGTTATTTAAATATAATCACATTTTCCGTTAAGAATTAGCAGGCTGTTTTTATGTAAAGGTTATGCACTTAAAGTTCTTGCTCTCTTTCTCTCTGTGTTTATCGCAGGTCCTCCATCCGCTCCTCATAATCTGATATCTAATGTCAACGAGACGTCGGTGCTGCTGGAATGGAGTGCGCCTCTCTCCTCCGGAGGCCGTCAGGATCTCACCTACAACGTTGTGTGTAAGCAGTGTGTGCGAGACACGCAGAGATGCATGCCGTGTGGAGACGACGTGCGATACTCTCCGCAGCGGCTGAGTCTGCGCTCCACGCGGGTGTCCGTTCACCAGCTGCAGGCGCACACCAACTACACCTTCCAGATCTGGGCCGTCAACGGGGTGTCCAAACACAGCCCCAGTCTGGAGCAGGCCGTGTCCGTCACGCTCACCACCAACCAGGCCGGTGAGAGTGTGTGTGTGTGTGTGTGTGTGTCTAAAAATGCTCAAATTTAATCAAGCATCGTGTTTGCATATAATAAGGCAAGTGAAACTGATCCTCACTAAATGTTTTCACTGAGGATTAGATGAGAAATATAGCATGCTACCAGTCAAAAGTTAATAATTAACATTTTTTAAATGTTTGTGAAAGAAGTCTCATATGCTCACCAGGGCTGCATTTATTTGGTAAAAAAAATACAGTAAAAACTGTAATATTGTGAAATATTAATACAATTTAATATAACTGTTCTATTGCAATATGTATTTTAAAATGTAATTTATTTCTGTGATCAAAGCTGAATTTTCAGCATCATTACTCCAGTCTTCAGTGTCACATGATCCTTCAGAAATCATTCTATTATGCTGATTTGCTGCTTAAGAAACATTTCTTATTATTAATTATTATCATTAACAACAGGAAATCGAGATTTAAAATATTTAAAAAAGAGATTAATACTTTTATTCAGCAATGCAATAAATTGAGCACAAGTGACAGTAAAGACATTTATAATGTTTATACAATTTTTATTTCCAATAAATGAGGTTCTTATGAAAGTTCAGAGAATCCTGAAAAAATATTAAGCAGCAAAAATGTTTTTAACATTGATAATAATAAGAACCATTATTGATAATTGAGCACCTGTAATAACTGGTCTTAATTGAGCAGCAAATCAGCATATTAGATTGATTTCTGAAGGATCATGTGACGCTGAAGACTGGAGTAAGCAATGATGCTGAAAATTCAGATTTGATCACAGTAATAACTTATATTTTAAAATTCAATTAGAAAACATTTATTTAAATTGTGATAATATTTCACAATATTACTGTTTACTGTATTTTTGATCAAATAAATGCAGCATTGGTGAGCATAAGAGACTTCAAAATCATAAAAAAGTCTTAATTATTCTGAACTTTTGACTGGTAGCGTACTATATTTCTCACCTAATCCTCAATGAAAACATTTCACGAGGTTCAATTTCACTGACATAATCACCTATGGAGAACTTCTGTATGACCTTTCTGCTCCATTACAAACACAGTCACACACATGTAGAGCGTCAGAACACTATTTTGATTCATGGCCGTGTGTGTGTGTAATTGCGGACGTGTGATACACGGTCTGTGCTCTTGATGGTGTCTTGGGTTTCTGTCGGAATGGAGCGTTAGCTGGAGATCCGGAACTTTCTGTGACAAGCCAAGCCTGTAAATCAGCCTGAGGGATCGGAGTGTGGAGTTTAGGGTGGAGGGTGGGGTTTTACCATGCATTGACGTGCCTTTGGCTATAGAACAGAGAACCTGAATACATGTGTCCTTCTTAGTCGTGCGCTGGGCGGTCGTGAGTGTATATTTAGAATCATTAACATATACGTCTTAATGTAGATGCTGCTGACACAATGTTTAGTACTCATAAGACAAAACACAATATATGCATGCTGTCAAAGTTAAATTGAAATTCAGATAAAGGCATCTTAAAAGTTTCAGAAGTAAAGAGAAGTGCTTGTGGAGAACATAAAACCTCCTGAACCATGGTAAAAATTACTGTAACACGCCGTTGCTTTTTAGTAATCGTTAGGAACAGAAATATGGCACCAATGTTTATCTTTAAAATCATGCATACGCCTCTAATAATAAAAGCAAACAATTCCTTTGTATAATAGATGATTATGGTTTTGTAACTGATGCAGGAAAAGGATATGCAAATAAAAATGCTAAATTAAAATTCAATTAAAATGCTAAATTACATTTTTGCATTTATTTTAAATTAACCTTTGCTATCAAAAACACCTATTTTTAAGTCTAATCAATATAAATTATTATTTAATAGATCAAATACAGTGGTGTGAAAAAGTGTTGGCCCCCTTCCTGATTTCTTATTTTTTTGCATGTTTGTCACACTTTAATGTTTCAGATCATCAAACAAATTTAAATATTACACAAAGATAATGCAAGTAAATACAAAATGCAGTTTTTAAATGATGATTTCATTTATTAAGGGAAAAAAGCTGTCCAAACCTACGTGGCCCTATGTGAAAAATTAATTGCCCCCTCCTGTTAAATCATGAAAGAACTGCAATTAACCACATTATTTTAGAAAGCTGAGTTAAATTTCACTGAACATTTTTAGTGAAGAACTGCATACATTAACGCTCAAAAGTTTGGGACCTGTAAGATTTTTTTTTATGCTCAGCAAAGCTGCATTTATTTGATCAAAAATACAGTAAAAAAAAAATGATGATGTGAAATATTATTAAAATTTAAATTAAATGTTTTCTGCTTTAATATATTTTAAAATGTCCTTTATTCCAGTGATGGCAAAGCTGAATTTGTAGTAGCCATTAGTCATAACTATCAGTTTTATGGATTTTGAATATTTAAATATTTATTATCATTTTTCACATATGCAGTCACAGTTCACAGGGATGCCACAAAACTTTACGCCACATGTGAAGTGCAGCATATCCCAGCATGCACTAAAGGTGTTAAATGAACCATATAACATGACGTTCCTAAATCAGTTTTACAAAATCTCAACGTGCCTGAGTGTTTAAGATGAACGAGTGCAGATTCTCATCTTTCCTTTAAGTTATCTCAGCCAGACACGCACACACCCGCAACTCCATTACAGCGCATATCTGTCAGAGCAGACGGCATGATGGATGTGTGTTAGAGATGAGTGTGTTAGGTGGGTGAAGGGGGGCCGGTGACCCCTGTGTTTTTGGCTGGAGGGGGTCGTCTCAGCATCCCCCCGAGGGACAACCCCAAATCACGTTTAGTCTGTTGGGCCTGGCAGAGGAAGACTGATCTGTGAGATGGGAGATGGCCGCTGTCGAGCTGCTGCTACAGCTGGCGGGGGATCGAATTGTTTAACAGAATCACACACACTCGCTAATGCACAGAGATGAAACTCTAGCTTAAGCATTTGAATTTGGGACGCTTGTAGATAGGCCAGCAATAAACGTTTTCTGTGCTGATTGGGGGGAAGAATTGACCTATATATATAATTGCTTCACAGTTAATCTAAATAAAACCTGAAATTGCAAAATGGCTTATTGCAAAGGTGGCGATTTAATTAAATATATGCGCTGCATGTTTCAAAGTGAAGCACAGCACAGTGTTCATTTACACACGAGCAGCTCATGATCCAGGGTTTTCAGCATCTCAAAGTGGCTCAATTCACAGTAGCTGCTCTGCTTCACATCTGCTTTTAGTTTGGGTCTCTTATAACGTGCATTCGTAAATGCAACATGTCCAACCGTCTTCCCAAACTTGTAATGAGAATCACTTAAACCGGCTGCTGTTGACATCAAAAGAGAAGCTTTAAGGGTTCCATGCGGTTTTCTTTCAAAATAAAAGCTCAATAATTTAATGTTTGTAAATTAAGAAATGAAGACAGCCATAAATATTAGTATTATAACAGGGTGTTAAAAGTTATTCTTTAAAAAAAAAAATTTTTTTTTAATAAAGTGCCTGTTGTCAACAAAAGAGATGCTTTATGGGTTCCCTGCAGTTTTGTGTCAAAATAAAAGCTCAATAGTTTAATGTTTGAAAATGAAGAAATGAAAACAGCCATAAATATTAGTATTGTAATTTTTACTTTAATTTTAAAATAAAATTAATTGTATTATATTATATTATTATTTTTCTTCAATACTTAATTAAAATATATATTTTTAATTTTACAGTGAAATAATAGTAACAATTCTTGTTATTGTTTAATATTTTAGTTCTTCTTCTTAATATTAATATTTTATAGTCATATTGATATATAATCACAAAGTATTTGGCCAAATTTTGCAACCTTACAAACAAACTTTGTAACATTTTAAATTATAATCAGTTTTTTTTATTAGATTTTTTTTCTCTAACTCGTGCAGCCCTACTAGATATGGTAAAATATGTTAAACAGAACTAATAGTTAACTTTTTTGCTAGCTGACAGCATCCTCATGCAAGTTTGTTTAAATTTTTTGAAGAAAATATGAGTGACCATTTAAAACTCACCGCTATGATGTCAGCGTGTTGTTGGTGGTTGTCAGGGTGTTGCCATGTGGTTTTTAGGGTGTTGCTATGTGGTTTCTGTGCACAATATTTTTTGTTTGTTTGTTTAACACTTCAAATTTTCAGCTTTCAGTCACCTATAACACCATTTACATGTGAAAATGATGCCAAAACTCTACGTTGTCTGAAACATCGTGGCCTTAGAATTTGACGTTTGTTCAATGTCAAGTATGAGCAATTGTAATAGTGATGCTTGACTTGGCAAACACCGCTAATTAGCCAAAATACACAAGACAATGTGTAGGACTTTGCCAAAAACAGTGTTTGAATTCTGTGGAAATATGCTGAGCTTTCTGTAGTTTTGATATGTAGAGTTGTTCTGTTTGGTAGAGGAAGCTAATACATAAAGATCTTTGCCATCTTCCAGATCCGTTTTCACTTTCTTGTGCTGTTTTTCTCTTTTTGTTTATTGTGTTTTCGACTTGTGTTTTATTGTGTTTTCGTGCAATGTGTCTTTGGAAAAGCGGAGAAGACGACGCACATCTCTGTTGTGTTTGATTCGGAGTCTGTTTGACTTTCTCACCCTCAACAAAAACAGCTTTGGGGGAAAAAAAACAAACGGACAATAGCGGTCTTAACTCCAAATCCACAGTTTAGAAGAAGAAAAAGCTCTCCTTGTCCTCCGGGTTTATCCCTTCCCTCTCTGTTTGTCTGTGATGTGATAAAAGAAAGACAGATGTGTCAGGAAAACCTGACAAAAGTACAATTTAGTAAGCATAAGCATTTTATAAATATATTAACTCTTTCTGTCTGTCCTCAGCTCCCTCCACAGTCATGATGGTTCAGAGTAAGGACATCACACGCGACACGCTCTCTCTGTTCTGGGATGAACCCGACAAACCCAACGGCGTCATACTGGAGTATGAGGTTAAATACTATGAGAAGGTGAATGTTCTTGCTTTTATTTGTCATATTTGAAAGGCATAAAATTTTGGGTGCACTGTTCCTTTAAGAAGCTATTGTTCAAACACACTGAATGTACACACTACAGCAATCCTTGTGGACATTCGCTGTCTGGATAAACAGGAAGTGAGGTTTTTATTAGAGTTAAAATAACCCCCTAATGTGCCCTTTGTCTTCTTACCTTCCTCTTGTCTTCCGTTCTCTGTCTCTCTCTCTTTATGAATCTCAGGATCAGAATGAGAGGAGTTATCACATTGTAAAGACGACGTCTCGTAGCGCTGATATTAAAGACCTGACTCCGCTGACCTCCTACATGTTTCACGTGCGCGCTCGCACCGCCGCAGGATACGGGGAGTTCAGCGCCCCATTTGAGTTCAGCACCAACACCGGTGAGTGTGGGAGCTCCTCCCCCTCCGCTATGTAATTAAACCATGAGTGCATGAAGTGTCCAACATTCCACACTGTTTTTTCGATTATTTAAATGCATCATCCGGGTTTTTAAAGTGCACCTTTTCTTTTAGAATTTTCAGTGTGAGCGAACTACTCACACTATTTATACTACAAAACAGCATAGAATAGTGCATAAGTACGCGAATTGGGACGCACAATATGCTCTAAAAATACGCTGCATGAATAAGAGAATAAATGTAATTTTCTCTCTCAGTCGCAGCTCCTGTTGTTGGAGGAGTCATGAGCTCTGCTGTGCTGCTGCTGTTGGTGGCCGGATGTGTTGTTGTTCTCCTCCTCATCCTCATCATTACCTTCATCATCACCAAAAGGTGACAGAACATCCAGTATTTTTTCCATGATGACAGACCAGTGTTGATATTGTTAACGGAAACTAAAACTACAAATAAAAATAGTTTTCTGAAATAAAGCTGCAATAAAATGAAATAATACATTTTAGATGAAAAAAGTTGAAGCACTAAAATGAATACAACTGCAATAAAAATAAAGCTAAATAGAAATATTTAAAAACAAAAACTAATAAAAAAAAAGGCTAAAGCACATAACAAAATTAATAGAACTTTAACTATAAAGTTCTGAACAATTCAAATATAATATGATTATAGTAAAAAAATGATGCTTGTGTGTATGTGTAAAATGTGAAATGACATATTTTATTTAAAAAAAAAATTATTTTAAAAATAAATGTTTTATTATATTTATAATAAATTGTTCATATATGTATGTATTACACTGCTCTGCATCTTGAAAAAAATTCTGCTGATTTGCATAAAAGGCATTTCATGATGCTGAGATCACAAATATCAATAAATGCTTTTCATCATGCACAGTTTTTTTTAACAAAATAAGAATGAAGAATTTAACTTCTATGTGTCAGCTTTAATGCACTTATCAAAATAACAAAAGCAGTCAAAAGTATTGAAGTATTGAAAAGTACTATTATAGTGTATAAACAATTGTAAAATACTACTGTGATAGATAAATAAAAGTATAAATGCTGAAAATTTGTGAATGTTTTAATATCAGGAGGAGCAAATACAGCAAAACTAAACAGGCAGAGGAGAAAAACCTGCAGCCAGGTAAGAAAACACCTTTCATTACTCCTCAGCTGGAACAAAAAATGAAAATTTTCCATTCTCGAACCTTCTGTTAATGTGCTGGCAGGGGTGAGAATATATGTGGACCCTTTCACCTACGAAGACCCCAACCAGGCCATCAGGGAGTTCGCTAAGGAGATCAATACCTCCTGTATCAAGATCGAGAAGGTGATCGGCATCGGTACGTTAACAGCCTTTTTATGTCTTCAGAATGTCATTTATTGACGATGGATGCATGTGAAAGTCACTTCCTGTCTCTGTAGGTGAGTTTGGCGAGGTGTACAGCGGCCGTCTGAAGCTTCCTGGAAAGCGAGAGATCTGTGTGGCCATCAAGACGCTGAAGGCGGGGTTTACTGAGCAGCAGAGGCTGGACTTCCTGAGTGAGGCCAGCGTGATTGGCCAGTTTGACCATCCTAATATCATTCACCTGGAAGGCGTGGTCACCAAATGTAAGTCAAAGCTGACATACATTTTTATTTGTGTCCTGCAATCATATATATATATATATATATAAACAGATAACTCTTAAATTATCTTTTTCTTAAATCATGTTTTTTATTGTGTTATCATGTTTTTATTGTGTTTTGTGTTAGCTGTATTTTTTTTTAGTTATTATTATTTAATCAAAACAACCCAACTGCAGTTTGATTGATATTAATTGGAATGCAGGACAAAAAAAAACACATTTTTAAAAACGTTTTATCTGTTTTTGCAAATGAACTCCTTATATATGTATCAGCTTTAATGCACTTATCAAAACAATAAAAGCAGTCAAATGTCAAAGGTTTTGGTTTTAATTACAGATATGAAATATTCAAAATGTATCATTTAACTTGCATTCTGCAAAGGAGTGGAAAAGTAGAAATCAGGATCAAATCAGTATCGTAAAATCATGTCTTCAGGATCATTCATACATTTGAAAATGGGCTGAACAAATAATCAAGTAATCTGGCTCAGAGGAAGATGGGAATCATGTCAGCAGTTTTTCTGCTGATTAAGGGTTAATACAAGATTTCTTCATATTAGAAATTCTTGTCAAAAGCAAAAATGCTACAAAATTACAAAATACATATTTTGTGAGAAAGTGTGACGTGCTCAAGCAAAACGGCTTTTTTGGAATCAGCACCCAAAATTAGTAAGAAACAAATATTGAATTTCATTCAGAAAATATGATGCATTATTAAAAGACATCAAGAGCTTTTCTTTGTCTTCTTCAGTCATTTTTAGTTTAGGCTTAAATATTAGTTTTGAGTACGTCATATCAGAATTCCTACTTGGAAACATAGTGGAATTCAGGGACAGAGCTCAAAAAATTCACAGAAATTCTAAAAAATTAACTATTACACAAATAAAATGCCCCAATGAGTCAAAATCCTTAATTTCATGCTAATAAAATCTTGTTTATGCTTCTGTGAATTAGACAGCAGAATGCTATGGTCAGAAGTTGGGATATTAAGTAAGCACAAATCCTGTGAAACCCCTTACAAAGAAACAGGCTGCTGATAGAATGTGTTTTTCTTTTGATGTGCTAATGGTTGTGTGTTTATGTATGCATGTCCAGCTTATCTGTGTGTTTGCTTGCTGAGCGTGTCTTGACAAAAACTGCCATGTGATGCACACACACACACACACACACACACAACCTTGTGGTCTCCAGATGGAGTGGGTCACTCTGTTTATATGCATGTTATTAAAATAAAGTATGCTGTATATGCTAAAAGTAAGTTTTGAGCAGCAGGTGACATCAAAACATTGATTTATAATTCCTTAGGATATTCAAATGGTGGGAGACATTTCTAACAGTTGGATATCAGCCAGCACTGTCAATGTTTAATTTAATTTTAGCTCATAAATGTCCCCATGAAACTATAAAGCCATCATAAGTCTCCTGCTTTGTGTTAAAGCAGAGCTAATGGAGTTGAATGCTTCATTTGCATAATGTAAATGAGTATGAAGTGAATCTAAATATGTAAATAAGGTGGTGTGGGATACCGGGGCCTCTCGGTGTCTCTCATCATTGATTCAACAGCATTTCTTTGTGATTATTTGACTTTTTATGACTTGTGGTAGTTGTATTATAAATGCAAGAAAAAAAAATTTTTTTTACTGTTTTTTTTATTTTAAATAGTGTATTGTGTTATGTTTTGATGGAGATTATAACCCTTGTCTCGCAGAGTTCATTGTCAAACGTACACATACATGTCGCCACAGCCATACACGCCAAGTCAGTAAACGGTTCATTAGCATTGTAATAGGGTGGGCGGAGAGGGGCGGGGCTGGGAAACTCGACAGTGAGGGGGCAGGGTCAGAGGTCACCTGCTCCTCAGGCCCTCTGGAGGAGCTGTCAGTCAAACTCGCCTCAAGGTCATCAGAAAGGCCAGCCCAACAAAGATGGCCGACAATGTGTCTGGTCGAGCTTTATTTACCGCACTTCCTCTAAAGGAAAGGAGTATTGGCTAAGTGTCAATCAGCCGGCATGTGACTGTGTGTGTTGATTCTCTTTGAATAACTAATATTCATGTTCTGTGCTCAGTGTTTACATCTGGTTGACATTGACTTTTGTGCAATACACAAGAAGTTTCAATAAACGGTGTCGCATATGCCCTGTGCATCTCTGGCATTCAAATACTGTCAGTGGGAAAGATTCACTGCTTGTTAATTAGATTTACATGTATTAAATTAATAGACAGCTATATTCAAAGTGATTTGTCCTAAGGAGGGTGTAACATAAGAAGTGCTATAATTCAAAACTCCATTGTCGGTCAGACTAGATTTGTTGTATTTTCGCACAGGAACTTACAGAAATTTAATTGTTCTCTTTTTGTCTCTATTTGTGATTGCAGGCAAACCAGTTATGATTATTACGGAGTACATGGAGAACAGCTCACTGGACATGTTTCTCAGAGTAAGATTGTGTTTGAGTGTCTCTACAATGTCTTTCTACACTGAAATAAAATCTGTATTTTAAATTCTACATTCATTTGTGAATTTCAGATAGTAAAACATCCGTATAAACAAAAATCCACTGACAGATATTTTCAAAGTAGTAGTGAATTTCATTCTCACACACACACACACACGTTTTTGTGAATTGTGGGGACATTCTATAGGCGTAATGGTTTTTCTACTGTACAAACTGTATTTTCTATCCCCTTATCATACCCATGTCATTATACAAATTTGTGTCCTCATATGTCACAAAAACACACACACACACACACACGTTTGTTTCTGTGAATTGCGGGTCTTTCCATAGAATTCTATTACATTTATACTGACCAAACAGTATTTTCTATCCCCTAACCCAACCCTAACCCTAAACCTACTTTTTTTACTATCCTTGTGGGGACATTTGGTCCCCACAATGTAGCATAAACAAGTACACACACACACACACACACACACATGTAGTAAGTATTCTAAATGCATATCTGTATATAAAACAAATGTTATAATTTGTTACATTTTTAAGTCATGTAAAAATAATCATATTTTTAATCATGCCAATAAAGCTATTTTGAATTTAGTTACAATTAAGGTTGTAAAGGGCCGGAAAATGTCCAGTAAATTTACAGAAACTTTCTAAAAGTTTCTGAAAGTTTCCAGAAATTCTGGAGTTTCTGTAAATTTACCGAATGTGTTTCAACTCTTTAAAGTCCTAGTTACAATACATTAAAATTCACTACTACTTTTGAATAGCCATCAATGTAAAATAATGCTTTTTGGCTGCAGAACAGTGTATTTACATGTTTAACTGACCCATGCTTTTTTTTACTATCCTTGTGGGGACATTTGGGCCCCACACTGTAGCATAAACAAGTACACACACACACACACACACACACACACATGTAGTAAGTATTCTAAATGCATATCTGTATATAAAACAAATGTTATAATTTGTTACATTTTTAAGTCACGTAAAAATAATCATATTTTTAATCATGCCAATAAAGCTATTTTGAATTTAGTTACAATTACGGTTGTAAAGGGCCGGAAAATGTCCAGTAAATTTACAGAAACTTTCTAAAAGTTTCTGAAAGTTTCCAGAAATTCTGGAGTTTCTGTAAATTTACCGAATGTGTTTCAACTCTTTAAAGTCCTAGTTACAATACATTAAAATTCACTACTACTTTTGAATAGCCATCAATGTAAAATAATGCTTTTTGGCTGCAGAACAGTGTATTTACATGTTTAACTGACCCATGCTAACTAATAAAAATCTGTTCCTCTGGACAAGCATCTGATCTAGTTTTGATTTTGTCACTTACCACAGCAATTAATTTTCATTGTGAAAAAAACTGATGCATGACATGTTCTTGGTAAAGGACACAGTGTAAAGCTAGGTTTTTCTCCATCCGAGAACAATCACGACTAGATCAGCTTTGATTCTTGTCAGGGTGTGGTTTTTCAGGTCTGATGTGTTCTTTCTCTTTCAGAAGAATGACGGCCGCTTCACAGTTATTCAGCTGGTGGGCATCCTGAGAGGAATCGCATCCGGAATGAAATATCTATCTGACATGAGTTACATTCACAGAGATCTGGCAGCACGGAACATCCTAGTGAACAGCAACCTGGTGTGTAAAGTGTCTGATTTTGGGATGTCCAGAGTGCTTGAAGACGAGCCAGAAGGAGCGTATACTACCAGGGTAAGAGTGTGTTTATGTTTTTACATTTATCCATACACAATTTTACATTCATATTATCAAATATACAATCAAGTAACTTTTTGGCATATAATGGCGTTATTTTGTTTATAAATGTAGGAACGACACAAGCTTCTTAGCCAAAAGTGATGTTTTCAGTGTTGTTTTTGTATCATTAATATAGTATCATAGCATTTATTAATATTTTTTATTTGTTTTTAGTTTATTTCTCTTGTTTTCATTTTAGATGTGTTTGTTGTTTTTATTAGTTTAGTCTATTTAAAAAAAAATTCAGCTTTTAGTGTATTTTCAGGTTTAGTAATTTTAGTAGTACTTAGTACTTGAACAATTAAAAATTAGAATTTTTAAATTTTATTTCAGTTAACATTTATTTAATAATTATACAAATTTAAATATATATATATAAAATAAACACACACAATATCAAAGAATTATTATCAGAATTTCACAATACTAACACTGGTTCCGATACTGTCATATGGAATATCAGACTTCTAGGAATGTCACTTATTCAGATTAGTTCTGTTCTATAATGCTGTTTAGAATTAGATGTTATTATTGTCAATAACATGAACCTGTCAATCACAGGGAGGGAAGATTCCAATCCGTTGGACGGCTCCAGAAGCCATCACATACAGGAAGTTCACCTCAGCCAGTGATGTGTGGAGTTACGGCATCGTCATGTGGGAAGTGATGTCATATGGTGAACGACCATACTGGGACATGAGCAACCAGGATGTAAGTGGCACTGTACCACAAATCTAATTAATTACATGTGCTTGTCATGCCTTCAGCGCTGGCGTTCCCATGGTACACTTTCTAGAAGTGCATGCAAAGTTTTAATACTCAGCTTTATCGTGCTATTGTGTGCCATGCCAAGTTATACAAGCGGACTGAATGCCGTAGTTCAGCAAGATCAGCCGTTCATTTCCTCTCCCCTGTTTCCTAGGTGATAAAGGCAATAGAGGAAGGCTACCGGTTGCCGCCGCCCATGGAGTGTCCGCTGGCTCTGCATCAGCTCATGCTGGAGTGCTGGATGAGGGAACGAGCGGACAGACCCAAATTCAGCCAGATCGTCAACATGCTGGACAAACTCATACGCAATCCTGCCACGCTCAAGAGGACGGCGGGAGACGCCAGCAGGTGAACATGCACACTTGCAGATACTCACATGGAGATTTCCATTCACATTTTTATTGCTATTTTGGGTATATTTTGGTACAAGTCCTAAAATATGTGTTTGGCATTTGTCAATGCTAATTTAAAAAAGTTTGTTCCCTTGTGAACTAGGGGTGCGCCGATCCGATATTCAGTATCGGTATCGCTCTTATATGTATCGGTATGGCATTTTCTGCCGGATCGGGATATCGGTCAGACGAGACCAATCCAAATCCTATATTCTGCGTATACTATTCTGTGTTATTGTTAAGCCCCACGAAAGCCACACAAACATCATAAAGCACCATAAAGTTTTCGTGCACTATATTCCAAGTGTTCTGAAGCCGTTCCGTTCTGTTTAATGTGAGGTACTGATGAATATTCAAGTCAAGTTCACGTAAACTCTTCTCTCCGCTGCGGCTGTCTGTCATCCTACATGCAGCGTTCAAACTGCGTGTCGCGTTCGGTTATGACAGTCAAAACGATGAAACTCTCTTCAAGATGATTCAGTGTTCCTAATATTATACTTGATCTGTAAATAAAGATAAATTGTTTTGCATAAAAGGACTTTATCTTGGTGGAGTTTTGTTTTGTTTGTAAATCGTGTTCATTTCTACCGTGTTAGATCACAACACTGGAGTAGAGAGCACTATGAATTGTTCTTCACGAAATTGAGTTTTAAAACTGTTAAAAGAAAATGCTCAATAAACTATCGCACAGATTTAATACACTATGCATCAATGTCTCTTTTTTTTATTTTATAGTAGGCCCTATATATTTATATATAAATATATGACTTTTTTCATTAATGTATTTTACAACCATACAAAGAGCAATGTGTAACATTTTACCAGATTTAGTCCAACACTTATTCACTTTTATTTGTTCCCCACTAAATGTTTTTTTTTTCACTAAAAGTTTCGATTTCATAAAATTAGTGTGCACTCATGATTTTTCTAGAGTAACTTTTGCTACTGAATTATCCACTAACCTAGTTTATAATAGTATTTTTGTCAGATTATGATTATATATATTTTTTCTGTTTGTTATTTTTCTCTTTATAAGAAAGTTGTCTATATTTAGTAGATTGTGTGTAACACACAAAAGAGTGATGATCAGTTCAACACACGAGGTATAGAAATTCTACACTGATTAAAAAAAACTGCGCTGGTATCGGATTGATATCGGTATTGGCCGATGCTCAGAATTTTTGGTATCGGATCGGGATCGGTTCTGCAAAAGTGCAGCTTATAACTTATAACTGCTGTAATCTGTAACCCTAAAGTTTGCAAAATTTCAAAATGCTTATTTCATCTGCCATTGTGTTCCAGCTTTTTCCAGAATGCATTTTAGTTGATTTTTTTTTAAGAAATTACTTCTTAATAATTAATTTTATTCAGCAAGGATGCATTAAATTGATCAATTGTGACAGTAAAGACATTTATAATATTAGAACAGATTTGCATTTCAAATAAATGCTGTTCTTTAATTAATTAAAATTCATTAAAAATGTAAAAATGTATCATGGTTTCCACAAAAAACACTAAGCAGCACAACTGTTATTTTAACAGCATTAAAATAATAAGAAATGTTTCTGAGCAGCAAATCAGCATATCAGAATGATTTCTGAAGGATCATGTGACACTGAAGACTGGAGTAATGATGCTGAAAATTCAGCTTTGATCACAGAAATAAATTACATTTTAAAATATATTACATGGAAACAAGTTATTTTAAATTGTAATACAATTTCACATTTTTAATAATTAAATAAATGCAGCCTTGGTGACCATGTTCAAAAACATGAAATATCATACAGACCCCAAACTTTTCAACTGTTGCGTGTTTCAGGCTTAACCTAAAATATGCTTTTTGGCACACACACACACACACATAGTACACATACAATTCTGACACGTTCATTTTCTCAGGATTAAAATGTATTCTCTGATGTTGTCATCCTCAGGCCCCACCCCTCCACACTTCGCCATGCCCCCTCTGAAGGCTCCGCCCCCTCTTTGGGTTCTGTGGACGAATGGCTGAAAATCATTGGACTTGAGCAATACAGAGAAAACTTCAGCACAGCAGGATTCTGCAGCTTACAGAGCGTCTTACCCATGAGTCACGAGTGAGCATTACTTTAACACATTACACACTCAATTACACATCCTGATGAGCTTGAAGATGACTTTAGCTTACCAAAACTCCCTCTTTTAAAGGGATCTGGCCAAGATGGGAATCTCATGCAGTGCACATCAGAGGAAGATCCTGAGCAGCGTGCAGGAGTTATTGTCTGGAATGCATCACAGACAAGACACAAAGGTTCCTGTCTGATCTGACGAGGAAAAAACAACAATGCATCATTGGTTAACATGGATCACGAAGGACGGAATATTTCACATCACTCTTGCACTTTAATTAATGTGAACGGTATGAAGATCAGAATGAATGAGCTAAAGTGCACTTTTCTGGGCCGCTTTGTGCTTCTATAAGGAATTTTCTTCAAGTCTAAGGATTTTAAACTGGCATTTTGCCGACAATTAAAATGACTTAATGCGTCTCTCTGGATGAGATGTTTCTGGCCCTGTTGTTCTAGGTGGCGAGGCAGTGTTTTTTGACAGGAGAAAGTTTGAGAAGCGTCCTCCTTCTGTAAGTGGAAAGAACTGTTTCAACTAAGTGCAAACAGACTACGACGCTTTTCACCTCAGGATCTTTTCAGGATGGCCACTCATCATCAGCCGGAAGGAATTGTTCCCTGTGGATGAGATTTGAGCATTATATTCAAACAGATCTTTTGCCTCGGGAGATGATTTTGAGCCTTTGCAAACGAAACTAACAGACCTTTTGGACGGTGTGTGTTTGTTTTATGAAGGCCAGATGGGAGTTTCAGAGGCATTGCTGAATGGAAAATGATATTGCTTTATTTGTTGAAAAAAAATAATAATATAAAATAAAGGGAACGAGGAGATAGATCCAGATAAGATTTAGTCTTAAGTTACTCATGTTCCTTGTATCCAATCTTTGCATTTTTAAGTAGCAAAGTAAAAGACTGATTCTTTGTAAATCTTGTTTCTTTCTCTCCTTTCAGTTTCATTTATTTCCACGTCTAAATAAATCATACGCAAACAGCTAAATCTGTGTATAATTTGATCAAATGTTTGAAACTGCTGAACTGGATCATTGTGAGAATTTCATAGTCATAGATATATTTTTTGAAACTTTTTTTCACTGTACATAATCTAGGATTTTGTATGTACATAGTTTTTAATTGTTTTTCTTCATGATGTACATAATACCAGCAGACGTTTCTGTGTACAGCTTCTGAGTTCCCTTCTTCCTTTTTTCTTTCTATGTGTTAACGGAATGTATTTAATTATACAGCGAGCATAATATTCATGTTGGCAGTAAATGTAACATTGTAAAACAGCAGTACATTTAAGAAGATTCGGTAACAGGTTGAGGAGTCTTTTAATTTCACAGTTTCTGTATTTCCACCTTTAGGTGCACCTAACTTATGAGCTTTATTTATGATCTTTTGTATCTAGTTCATAAAATAAAATTTCGAAGAAATTGTTTGCGGTTGTCGTTCTATATTATCTACCTTATCCAACATCCACATATCTCTACATTAGTGCAAACCAAGCGTGAAATCCTTTCCATAAGTTCATGATGTTACTCTTCATATACTGTATGTACAGCTTGCAATGACATTAATATTAATGTATTTTATGAGTTGTCCCTCTTTTTCTTTTCTTTTAAAGGGTTACTTAAAACATTTGTTTTAGCGGTGGTACTTCAATTTTGTGATGATTTGTCCGGTATGGAGAGTACTTTTAAGTCTGACTCTTCCAGATCATTCTCAAGGAGATCAACTGTGCGTTTCCCGAAACCTTCTTAACGCTACGTCGTTCGTATCCCTGTATCCCCGTCGTACGTAAACAACGTATGCTGTTCTGTGTCAGCTGCGTCACACCGGATCTGTTTCCTACGTTGTTGTGATTTGATCTGAACGAAAACAGTGTATCCGTGTGACGCAGCTGACACAGAACAGCATACGCTGTTTACATCCAGCGGATATTCTCCAAAATGGCACCAGGGTGATGCGGAGGATTGTTGAATAAAGTCGTCTTTTTTTTTCTTTTGCGCACAAAAAGTATTCGCGTAGCTTCGTATAATTACGGTTGAACCACTGATGTCACATGGATTATTTTACAGATCTCCTTGCTACGTCTCTGGACTTGGGAACATTTCAGTTGCGTTGCCGTCTATGCAGGGTCAGACAGCTCTCAGATTCCATCAAAAATATCTTAATTTGTGTTCCGAAGACGAACGAAGGTTTTCCGGGTTTGAAACGACATGAGGGTGAGTAATTAATGACAGAATTTTCATTTCTGGGTGAACTATCCCTTTAAGCAACATCCTAAGGTATAGTTCGGGGAACACACCTAGGAAAGGTATACCCCTAGTTAAGGTGTACCTTTAGAGTCTTCGTTGCAGGCTAAGAGACACTGTTATCGGGAAACGCAGCCCAAGTTCTTTCAGGTGGGATGGATTTGATTTAAGCGCTTCAGTCAGTGCTGCCACACTTTCATGTGTTATGTTACAGTTGGACAACCTGAAGAGAGCAGAGTGGATTTTCATAAAGTAGAAAAGTTAACAAATAATAGTATAAATGTTGTTTTATAGAAATCTGATTTGGTTTCACATTTTTACCTCAGCTTCTCTAGTTTCAGTGAGGACTTTGTAGTCCGAGAACCCTGACTGAGTCTTTTAGATCATTAATACTCAGGTCCAGATCTGTCAGACTGAAAGTATTTGAGCTGAGAGCTGAAGCCAAAGTGGTTAGTTTCCAACTTTATCAAAAACTATATTTCTATATCTTACCTCAGTGTTTTCAATCTACAGTTTGGATGATGATGAACAGCAGACATCAGCTTTGCTCCCTGATCTCCAGGTCTGTTGTTGCCCAAATCCAGCTCTCTCAGCCCAGAGTTTGACCTCAGAGCTGAAGCCAGAGATTCGAAGCCTTCGGTTTTGATTTTGCAAGTTGACAGTCCATAACAAGTCAAAAAATTAATTATACAAATTACAGTAAACAATATCACTTTAAAGGAAAAGTTCACCAAAAAGTCTGTCATTTACTGATAAATTAACTTTTTTTTATATATATAAAAAATAATCCACATGATTTGATTTAAATGCAGACCTCATAAAATAATCCACATTTAACATTTAATTTCTCATAACAAAGGTTTGAGTCATTACTGAGTGAAAGTCAGCTGCTCTTTTTTTTAGATAAAATTCCCGACAGAGTTCACGTTTTTAAACGTGTTGCGATTTGTCACGTGACACGTTGGGCGTCGATGACGTCACACGCCATCCAAAGGCGCCATTTTTTAACTGACGCAATCGCATATTATATTCTACAGAAGACGATAATTAGTCCATGAGTACTTAAATTTCACTTTGTTCCTCACATAAAGTTATCGTATGGCTTCGGGAGACTTGAAATATATATTGCAGTCATATGAAGTACATTCATGAATTTTTTTTGGCGTGGCGTTTAAAATAAACACCAGTTGTTATTTGTTATGGACTTTCTCCTCAGTGAAATCTCGTTTTGCAATTCGCCGAAGAAAGAAACTTGCATCATAAAGACATGGGGGTGAGTAAATAATTTTCTTTTATGAGTCAATTATTACTTTAAAGTCGACATGAATTCAAAAGTCACTCTATTTACATTTTGATTGCATTTTCATGGTATCATTTCAAATAATTTTTTCCACATAATTCATAAAAAATGTAATAACTTGTTTTACCGTTGAAACAACTTGCCTTACTTACGATTGACAACACCAAGACCACATTTTTATTATCGAATAAAAACCTGCCATATAGTGACTTTTATCGTTTAATGAATTCCTGATGGATAAAATCAAGTTCAACCTTAGTTTTTCTCACTGAATATCCTGGTTCAGTATAAAATTGTTTAAGTTGTTTCATAGTGACAAATGAAAGGGTTGCAACAGTAGCTTTAAGGCAGTTCTTCCTTGACTTTATTGCGTGACAGTGAATCATACATTTAGATAAATTTTATTATAACTAATTAGGTTTGTTATTACTTACTTTAGTGTTTCCAATGCACAGTGAACTTTCTCCAGAGCAGCACAGAGATGTTTCACTCCAGAGTCTCAGATGAGAAGGGTTTGAACTCAAAGCTGAAGTCAGGAAATCACAGCCTGCTTCTGTTACTCCACAGTTCTTCAAACTTCAGAGAGAAGAGTAAATATAGTCTAATTTCACTTGTAAACTTGAATATGCAATATCTGAAGCTTAGAGAGGAAACCTACTTAAAGGGGTCATATGATGCGATTTCAATTTTTCCTTTCTCTTTGGAGTGTTACAAGCTCTTGGTGCATAAAGAAGATCTGTAAAGTTGCAAAGACTAAAGTCTCAAATCCAAATAGATATTCTTTATAATCACTATGTGGGAAGATTTGCATAACGCCGCACAAATGTTCACGCAAAGACAGAAGGCGTAACTTTTATTCTCGCTGTAGTATTGTTGCCGCCGCCATGTCGTGAAGACGCTGTGTGCTTCGTTGTGAAAGCGAAACTACTTTGTTTGGCCTTCCAAAAGAGGACGATATCGCTTTGTCATACCTGGAGCTGATCTGTGCTGGTCGCTCAGGAAATACATCAACTTCGGGCTGTCGAACGCCGGATCGGCTTTCACCGTGGACGAAGCGGAGTCCAGCCCGGGGTCGTCACATGTGGTTGCCGCAGGCATCACAATATGGTAAGGGACGTAACATTTCCGTCACACGCTTGAGGAATTCGGCCAATCACAACGCACTGGATAGCTGGCCAATCAGAGCACACCTCGCTTTTTCAGACCGATGAGCTTTGTAAAAATCGACGTGTTTCAGAAGGCGGGGCATAGAGGAGAAACAATAATGTACAGTATGTGGAAAATAATGTGTTTTTTTAACCTTAAACCGCATAAACACATTTCATTACACCAAATACACAAAATAATGTTCTTTTTAGCAGCATCATATGACCCCTTTACTTGATTCCCGCCTACACTTTGTGTTCTCTAGTCCAGCAGTAGGAAGAATGACAAAATCAAGGTCAGGATTACAATCGTCAGAACCTAGGCTCCTCCTGACAATATTTTTACTATTGATTAAAATCTTTACACGTAAACAGGGGTTATGTTGATGTGCTGTTTCTGTGTTTTGCTTCAATGAACACTCATACACTAATTATTCTAATTTTCGTAGCGTGATCTTTTCAATGCAATAACAGGGCTCCAGACTGCACTTTCTGCCTGTGCAACTAAATTTTGTGAGCTGTCGCACTGGCGCGACCACCGTGTTGTTCAGCTCATAAGCGCTGCCATTTCTGTTGCATATGAGAAACATCAGACGGCAAACAAAACTGAAAGCATAACGAAACCCTAAGTTTTATTTAATTGACAAAAGTAAAAAGAAAAGATTTCCAAAGTTTTTACTGACCAACGTAAATGTATTTTGTAAATATAAACAAATTTAGTTTTTGACGGCTGCAACACATTCCAAAACAGCTGGGACAGAGGCAAAATAAAAGTGAAAAGGTTATAGAATATCCATGTTAAACTGTTTTGAAACAGTAAGCAGGTGAATTGGTAATAGGTCAAGGTATCATGTTTGGGTATAAAAGGAGCATCTCGGTCTTTGCAGGCAAAGCTGGATCATTGCTCATCACTTTGTGCCAAATTTCAAGTGTCAAACAAATCAAAAATCACATTTCGCAATGCAGAAATGCAAAGAATTGAGGTCTTTCACCAAGTACCATACATAATATTGTGAAAAGATTCAGGGAATCCAGAGAAATCACAGTACATGTAGAGCAAGGCAGGAAACCTCAGTTGAATGTGCTTGACCTTTGAGCCCTCAGATGGCATTGCATAAGAAACCGTCATGCTGTGGTGTTAAATATAGCCACATGGGCTCAGGAGTACTTCAGAAAACCCCTGTCATTTACCACAGTCTGCTGCTGCATCGAGAAATGCAACTTAAAACTAGTGGTCGACCGATATGGGTTTTTTGACAACCGATGCCGATATCTTGGAAAGCAGGGTGGCCGATATAATTTAAGAAATTTGAAATAATTTGAAAATGTATTAAAAAATAATCGTGTAAAATAATCATACTTATACTCTAGAAGACAAAGTATTTTTCACAAATAAATAAATATTTAATAAAAATATAATTAAAAAGGAAGTAAATACTTTTTTGTATACATTTTAATTCCTTTGTTTAACAGTTCTATCTGATTATTAGATAGACTTCTATCCGTATTAGACAGAACTGAATGACAACAGCAAACAAGAGGGAGAATGTGAGCGGTGTGTGCTCACTCAGGCGCTGCCGCAGCCGTTCTCGGCGCCGTCAAAATAAAAGAAACAGAAAAACGTATTGGCCGATGCCGATATTTGAAAAATGCCAGATATCGGCCGATATATCGGTCGACCACTACTTGAAACTCTATTACTCTAGGAGAAAG